TTAGAAAATAGACTCTGCATCAACATACAAGACAATGACTTTATCACTTAATGAAATTTTTCCATTAATAGATAAGCATTTAAAGGTATCTGTAAAGATGATGTAAATTTTACAATGATGTCTGAGGTAGGTATTGTGCTTTTCCTTATTTTATAAATGAAGGAATTCAAGTCAAGACAGTGACCAAAGGTCAACTAATTAGTAAGTAATAGTATCAGGATTTTAACCCGGGTAATCTGTTAACCGGGCTTCCCCGGTGGTTCAGCGGTAAAGAATTTGCCTGCCAATGCAGGAAATGGCAACCCACTCCAGTATTCTTGCCTGGGATATCCCATGGACAGAGGAGCCTGGTCCTCTAAATGTTGGACACAACTTAGTGACTAGACAACAACAACAAATCTGTTAACCACAACTTTATGTTTCCTATAAAACTCTATGTGGAAGACTTAGGGATATGACCTACCCTGGTGATGGTCTAACTTTACTACCTATTAGCTGGGTAACCTTGTCAAGTTAAATTCTCTGAATCTCAGTCCTTCATCTATGAGTGTAATATGGTATTAGTCATTTGAAAGGAGTAATTAAGATAACGGATGTGAAAGGCTGTTAGGAACTGAAAATGTAGGGTTACATTGATGTCAGCAGTGGCTTTTAGTTACAAGGGACTCTGGGTATTCACAAGACTATTTTTTAGCAGACTGAAAAAATTTGTTTTTTCCTTTTTTTTCTATGGACCTTACCTGACATATTCCAGCTCATCTTTGAGGATATCAGATCCTCAGAGTTTCTCTGACAATAAACAATTGTTTAGGTCCCCTCCATTTAATAGCACTTAATTATAGCATAGCATTAATTATATTCCTCCATTTTCATCATTTATTTTCTTTAGATTACAGTTATTCATGGCCTAGTTCTTAATTAGACTGTAAATTCCAAGACAGAAACATCTGCATCATAATTGCTAGTTATTCCTAGTGTCATATCCTTTTGCCTTTTCATCCTGTTCATGAGGTTCTCAAGGCAAGACTGCTGAAGTTGTTTGCCATTCCCTTCTCCAGTGGACCATGTTTTGTCAGAACTCTCCACCATAAACCATCTGTTTTGGGCGCCCCTACATGGGCCATAGTTTCATTGAGTTAGACAAGGCTGTGATCCCTGTGATCAGTTTGATTAGTTTTCTGTGCTTGTGCTTTTCATTCCGTTTGCCCTCTGATGGATGAGGTCAAAGCTGTGGTTTTTCCAGTAATCATGTATGGATGTGAGAGTTGGACCATAAAGAAGGCTGAGTGCTGAAGAATTGATGCTTTTGAACTATGCTGTTGGAGAAGACTCTTGAGAGTCCCTTGGACTGCAAGGAGATTAAACCAGTCCATCCTAAAAGAAATCAACCTTGACCATTCATTGGAAGGACTGATGCTGAAGCTGAAGCTCCAATACTTTGGCCACCTGATGCAAAGAGCCAGCTCATTAGAAAATACCCCGATGCTGGGACAGATTGAAGGCAGGAGAAGCGGCAACAGAGGATGAGATGGTTGGATGACATCATTGACTCAATGGACATGAGTTTGAACAAGCTCCAGGAGATGGTAAAGGACAGGGAAGCCTTGCATGCTGTAGTCCATGAGGTCACAGAGTCAGACACGACTGAGCAACCAAACGACAATAATTCCTAGTGTATAGCAAAGTGCCTGCACAGAGTGGATACTCTATAAAAGTTTGTTGAATAAATAAATATGGAATATTTATTTTTCTTTCCAAAACCATGTAACTCCAGTTGCTGGCACAATTTTATTTGACCTTATTTTATTTTAAAGTTCTTTATTTATTTTTAAGAACAATTTTCAAGTACAATAGCATAATTATAAAATCACTTAAGCTGCAAGTTTTGGTATATGCCCTTAATATTCCAAGGTTTATGATTGAGTAAAATGGATCTTGGCCCTGAATTGGCTCTTATGCTTTCATTTAATAGGTGATCCTATCAATATTCTCCTGATGGAATAATTAATTACATATAGAGAAGACCCTGAGCAGGTATGGAAAATAGGTATGGTGTTGCTCAGCATGTAGATGATAATAGATGTTAGGAGAGAAAAGATAGGCAATTCTTTTTTCAAACAAACCATATTAATAGAAATAATTACTCACCCATAAATAATCAAATGTATTTTGGGAGGTTCCATTGGAAAAAAGGACATGGAATGGCTAAGGAAAACAGAATTTCATGGCCTTTTTATACTTGTTGAAAAATGAGCTTAAGTGTGAAAATTTTATAGAAAATGGAGAAAAGTAAATAATGACATGTGAGAGAAAATCATTTACTTTTTTTCTCAGCCAAGAATTGAGGCTTCAACATAAGTGAGGCATCCTAGACCAAAACTAAAATTCCGAGCAATTACTAGATCCTAAAGGGTAAAAAGTTATGACCAACCTAGATAGCATATTAAAAAGCAGAGACATTACTTTGCCAACACAGGTCCATCTAGTCAAGGCTGTGGTTTTCTCAGTGGTCATGTATGGATGTGAGAGTTGGACTGTGAAGAAAGCTGAGCGCCGAATAATTAATGCTTTTGAACTGTGGTGTTGGAGAAGACTCTTGAGAGTCCCTTGGACTGCAAGGAGATCCAAACAGTCCATCCTAGAGGAGATCAGTCCTGGGTGTTCACTGGAAGGACTAATGCTGAAGCTGAAACTCCAATACTTTGGCCACCTCATGTGAAGAGTTGACTCATTGGAAAAGACCCCGATGCTGGGAGGGATTGGGGGCAGGAGAAGGGGACGAAGGAGGATGAGATGGCTGGATGCATCACCGACTCGATGGACATGAGTTTGAGTAAACTCTGGGAGTTGGTGATGGACAGGAGGCCTGGCGTGCTGTGATTCATGGGGTCACAAAGAGTCGGACACAACTGAGTGACTGAACTGAACTGAACTGAAAGGGTAAAAAATTGAAAAGGCTCAAACAGAAAGACCTAACACACATCTGTTAATATGTTCACTAAACCCATTTCCTCAAACTCCTGTATGCACAACCAAACTCATACTCAGTTGTGGCCTTGTCAATAAACTGTGGACAGCAGAATGTAGGACTTGGTGGGTAGATCACTTCTAGGATTGGCCCACATATTCCTCCTCTAGGACCTCCAAACACGCTCTTCCCTTATCTCCCAGAAGATGCAGAAGATCATCAGGGAGATGGGGTTTAGAGAAGCCATTAAAATGGTCATGTGAAAGACTGCTCACCAACCATTAACATCCAAACTGGACTTGGCGTGAGCAAGAAATCAACCAATTTTTATTAGGTTAGGCCACTGGGTTTGTTTGTTACAGCTTCTACGACTTGTCAGTTTGGACTACCATAACAAAGTACTGAGTGTTATAAATAACAGAAATTTATTTCTCAGAGTTCTGGAGGTTGAGAGTCTGAGATTAGGGTGCTGGCATGATCAAGTTTTGATGAGAGCACTCTTCCAGGTTGCAAACTGCTATGTTCTGGTATACCCTCACATGGTAGAGAGCAGAAAGGGGAAGCAAACTGTGTTGTCACTTAGAGTGGCACTAATCCTATTCATGAACGTTCCACCCACATGACCTCAACTAATCCCAATTAAATCCCAAAGGTCCAACTTCTAATACCATTACATTGGGGAGGAGATAGAGTTTCAAGCACAAGAATTTGGAGAGAACACAAACATTCAGTCTGTAATATCCTGGCATGTTTCTCTTATACATTCTAATTTCCTGTTGTAAAACAAATGCTCTTAAGTTTAATAATTTGAAAAGTCTGGAGTAAAAGAATATTTTGACACATCATTTACCACTAGAGAATTAGTGCTCTTTTAAATGAAACCCAGACATAATACTGTGGTAAAGGTATATGATTTTAATTTTATGCACTTCAATGAACACTAGGAAAACGCACTGTGACAGAAGCTACTTTTTTTTTAAACAATACTAATTCCTTTCTTTTCCAAATAATGACTATACTAAATGTGGGGCACATGGCTACTGGCTGGAGGTTTTATTTTCCAGTTTTCCTTTAGAGTTAAGTGTGGCCCTGTTTGTGTGACCATAGGTATAAAATAGAATTGATAAGAAACTCTTCAACGTAGGTTTTTAAAGAGGAATGGACATGCACTCCTTCCCCCATTTTGTGTGCTTCCTACTGATTAGGGTGAAGGCATTAGAATGCCTTCTAGAGGTGGAAGTTGGGAATCAAGGACCATAGAATTGTACTACCAGCTCTGGATCATCTACCTCCACATTGTTTCATCAGCGCAAAATAAACAACCACTTTTTCAGAGTCACATTATTTTGTTTTTTTTTTCTTACAATACTTTAACTGAGGAGAAATAGACTGATTCAGCAACGTCCTATTAAACTCATGGCATATGGAAGGAATCTCAGGAGGGATACTTAAAATCACAGCTGCTTTTGGTATATATATAAGTGGAGCTTCTTATCCTGATTAATTACCATACTTCAAGTATTTATTACAACTGATTCTTTTTATCAATACATTCTTTTCTACCTTTTTAAACACCAAAGTTATAATTTCAAGTTCACAAGCTTTCAAAGGCTTTATTGTCAAGTTACCTACTGTGAAGTCACTGTCACAAGATTCTGAATTTATTCTAGTATGGAAAAGAAAAATACAGTTAGGGTTAAAATTAATGACCAAAAGTAACAGAATTCTAATACTGTGAATAAATCCTAAACAGTGCCTTCTTCATTGTAATATTTAACATTTAACAAACATTATCTTATTTGATTGGAGTAAGAAATGGCAACCCACTCCAGTATTCTTGACTGGGAAATCCCATGGGCAGAAGAGCCTGTCAAGCAACAGTCCAAGGGGGTCACAAAAGAATTGTACACAACTTACTGACTAAATAGAAATAATCTTATTTGATATATGGACATTCAGAGATAATACAGAAAGATTATCTCCATTGTATAAATGAAAAAGATGTGCGCTGTGAACTTCAATGACTTACACAAGGTCTCAAGTCTTGAGCTCAAGAGAGCGTGTAACAGGAGCAGCGGTTAGCATGAGACTGTTATCGCGAGACTGGCCGTTAGCGCGCTGTCCTTAGCCGTCCCCTCCACCAACGGTTAGAATCACGGTGGTCCCCACGGCAGCAGTCTCCCAGGGTGGCAGTCTGTGGGACCTGGCCCATTTGCTTGCCGGCGCGGACACCGGGCAGGGCAGGGGCCCTTTGTTTGGCTTGTAAAAGCTCCGAAACAGCGGCGCCCTCAGTGACTGCCAGGCAGCCCCAAGCGGAAGTGGAGACCTGTGGGCTACTGTGAGGAGCGTCGATGGCGGAGGTGACCTCCTGCCTGAGGAGCCTGTTCTGACATCTGAGGGAGGCTCCGTGAGCCCCTTCTCTGGTTGTTAAACTTGAAGAGTATTATACTTTCAGATAAAATTTTGCAGAACAGATAATAGTATTGGTTGTTTGGAGGTTACAGGAACATCGTGACCTGACCCGCATGGTCAGCTGCAAGAACAAGAAGTATGCAACAATTAACCACATCCCTCCGTCACCTTGCCTTTAAAAGGATTTTGCTGCAAGGCTTCTGGGAGTTTGGTGTGTTCTGTTCTTTTTTTTTTTTTAAGGCGCGAACCACCCCTCTTCTGCAATAAACCTCTGTCTGCCCCCAAACTGTTTTGGTATCATTTGGCCTCACTGTGCATTGGGCACAGGGACTTGAGGTGAGTAACAGTCATTCTTCAAGGATCATAGTATCCTTATGATATTTCTGAACATTTCCCAATGAGATTATGAGCTCAGAATTCGGTATTTGTATTCAAGGTTTTATGATCTACGTTTGGATTTCAGCTCTTATGATTTATGTGCTGCAAGCCGAGGGCTTCCAACATACTTTTTTTTAATCTATGAAATGGGGATAATAAATAGAAATCAAGGCTGATACCAGGCAGATAAATTGTATACTAAAATACCTTATTTAGTAGTAACCTCTCAAAACTTTTTGAGTTTTAATTTTTGAGACAGATTTATAGTACAATAAAAATACACAACCCTAGGGAGTACCATTTATGTTGTATTTTATGATAATTTCATTCCCTAGCACAATACAATAAAATTTGGATGTTGCCCCTAGTTGTACAATGTAGTAACCTTAATGAATTTTTTAAAAAACAATTGAATAGCTTTTATCTTGAGGAAAGTGGTATCCCATCACACACTCAGCATTGAAGATAAGCTGCTATTTCACATGTATTCTCTTGGATCCAGCTAAAGCTGTAATATAAATTTCTGCTGAAATTGACCTAGATAAATAATCACTTTCATCCTCTTAAATTTCACTTTTAAACAGAAAGGATAATTATTCATAGTCTCTGGCATTAAATTGATTGGCTCTAAAAAGATGGAGACTAGAGTTAACCCTTGGCTTTTGTAGCTGTGATATTTTAAAAGACCAGATTTTCCTAAGTAAGTTTCTTGAGATTTAAAAGTCAAAAGTTTATTTTTAAAATTTTTTTGAAGTAACACTGGTTTGTGATGTTATATGTTTCATGTGTTCAACATTATATTCAACTTCTGTACACACTATAGCAAAAGTTTAGTTCCATCTGTCATCATACAGTTGACTCCATTTACCCTTTCTGCTCTCTCTCAACCCCTTCCCTTCTGGTAACCATTTTTCTGTTCACTGTATCTATTTATTTTCCTTTTGTTTTGTTTATTTATTTGGTTTTTGTTTGCTTTTTTAGTAAAATAATAGGATATCTTTCTTTGTCTGACTTATTTCATGTAGCATAATACCCTCAAGGTCCATCCGTGTTTTTGTAAATGGCAAAATTTTCTATGTTTTAAGGGTAAGTTATATACTATTGTGTGTGTGTTTATCTGATCTTTACTTCTCATCCACTGATGGTCATTTAGGCTGTTTTCATATCTTATAAATAATGCTGTAATGAATATATGAACAGAAGTAGTGTTAGTTGCTCAGTCACGTCTGACTCTGCAACCCCATGGACTGTAGCCTGTCAGGCTCCTCTGTCCATAGAATTCTCCAGGCCAGAATACTGGAGTGGGTTGCCATTTCCTTCTCCAGGGGATCTTCCCAACCCAGCAACTGAACCTGGGTCCCCAACACTGAAGGCAGATTCAGGGAATATATTTTTTCAAATTGATATTTTCTTTTGATAAAAGCCATTCTAACAGGTATTAGGTGATATCTCATTTTGGTTTTGATTTGCATTTCCCTAATAATTACTGATGTTGAACATCTTTTCTTCTGCCTGTTGACCATCTTTGAAAAAATGTCTATCCAACTCCTCAGTCCATTTATAAATTAGGTTCTGTCTTTTTTGTTTTCTTTTTGCTGTTGAGTTGTATGAATTTTGTATAATTTGGATATTAACCCCTTATCAGATATGTGATTTGCAAGTATCTTCTTCCATTCAGTAGGTTGTCATTTCATTTTGTCACTTTTATTAACTGTGAAGGAGATTTTTAGCTTGAGATAGTTTCATTTTTTATTTCTGCTTTTCTTTCCTTTAACTGAGGAGACACATTCAGAAATATATTGCTGAGACTCATGTCAAAGAACAAAGAGGAATAGGGAAAAGTATATCTAATCTACTTTCTCAGAAGTGGAAATCTGTGTACTTTTATTAGTGTATTGACTATGATTCTTCTATATTTTGACCATCTAAAATGTCCACAGTTTTCACAAAAGAATTTCTTCTAAGATTCCCACACAGAGTAGAGTGATTAGTGCTCGACCATAAAAACAGATGCAAGTTAGAAGTGTATCAGAGCTCTAAGTTCTGCTCTGGCAACTTAGGGAAGCCAGAATGGGATACACATGTAATATTTTATATATGTAATATTTCTGCTACATTTTGAAATATGATGGTTATCTAGAGAAAAAGCACTTGTGCTTCTGCTGAGAACTGAAGGAACCATATACAGTACTTTCCAAGGGATGCCATTTTTACCTGAAGGCCCAATTGAGAAATTAACTATGATTATTCAGAATTAGGCAGTTTGGTAGACAATTTATTCAAAGTAAGTATGTCACTTAACACAACTGATGATATTTTCTGCCAATGAGAAAATTTTAGCTTTAAGCAAAAATTAGAATTTTGGAATGTTTTATTCCATCACTATAATTTTGCCAGATTCTCAGTATTTAAAGACATTCCTCATGAGATTGTTGGTGATATTAATAAATTTGACATTTAGTATTGTACAATGAGAAATGTCAGCATCTGAAAGATCTACATATTGCAGTGAACCTGTATTTTGCAAATGATCCATGTGAGATATTACAAACTAATTATGATAAAAATCATAATATAAGATAGATCAACAAATTTTAATGTAACAAACACAAAAAGCTTGTTGATCTGCTTTCAGCTTTGACAGTACAACTGAATATTTAAGAAATTACACTAAAGTTTTGGTAGAGAAAGATAAAGAAGATCCAGAATTATCAAAAAATTTTTAAAACACTGTTCCTATTCCAATTTTATATGTGTGAAGATGGATTTTCTTCAAGGTCTTCAATTAAATATCTTGTCATAATATGTTGAGTATGGAAGCAGACATAGAATCCAGATGTCTTTTTTTTGGCAAATATATAAATCAGTGTCTTGCCACTGACTACTTTTTTGAAAATACATTGCAATTATGTTATTTATACTCACATGGAATGACTAATATTATTATATAAATATTTTCAAATCTTATATTTTAGTTTAAAAATGGCAAGTAGCTATCAACATAACCCACATTTTAAAAAAAGCTTTTTGGAGTTCTCCATACATTATAAGATTTGTAAGTAGGTACTTAAACCAAAATACAGTATTTTAGATCAATTGCTATAGAAGATTATAAAGCAGTCGTACAAATACATGAGGCATAGCCAAATTGTATTTGGTTCCTCAAGTCTCCCAACTCATAATTTTTAAGTGAACAAATGCATAAAATAGAATTCTGGTTTTTCTTTGCAGTGTTTTTATTGCTAATGAGTGATGGCATTTTCCCCAAAATTTATCCCAAGGAAGTGAAATCTCCACAGACCAAATGCCTGACTCTACATTTAGAAAAGATACATTGTTAACTTTCTCCTTAAAGATCTTCTAGGCCCTTAAGTTGAGATATTTATTGGAAAAAAAATATTATCCTGTGGAAAATGGCTGTTTGCTATTTTTTACCTTCAAAAGGTAAAAAAAAAACTAAATGAAAACTGTCTATTATTAGTGACTATATATCATTAAACTAGTAACCTATGCCTAATTATAAGGGAAGTTGGGGTGTCTAATGAGATTGTAAAGAAGACAGGTGTAGGGGGAAAAGGAAACATTTCTTGCATACACAGTCGGAGGTACTGATGTGTACATCCTCACAATAGCCTCGATATGTAATTATTAAATACATTTTTAAATGAGGGAGAAAATGCTCATAATGTTAGAATTGATGCTCAAGTATATTCCTACATGCCTTCAAAATGAGTATTTCAATCCCTTTTATTTTTTAAGATCACCTGGTTTATTGAGAAAAGTTCGTAATAAAACTGCAACTGCTATTTTTACAACTTATGAAATAATTTGATATATAAAATGAATTGGTTTTCATTATGTAAGTACAAATAGTAAAAAAATTATAGTATTCCATATTATATATTTGCAAGTCAGAGAAATCCCACATTCCTGAATTCTCCTGTTAAATGTTTTACATCAGATATTTTTAATCTGTTTACCAAGGGAAACCAGGTTTTTAACCATATTTAAGTTTTTGCTTACAGTTGCAGTCTATCAGAAGCTATGTCTACATGATTAGGCCCGATCAAGCCAAAGATGAAAAATTCAAGCCATGTCTTCTCTTTAGGCTGTTTAATGTTACTTTTGTGATGGCAATGGCCCTCCTAATGCTTTACTGAGCAACCTAATACTACTTAAAGGTCATAATGAATTAGACCAGTCCATTTTTTAATCCAGTCTACTCTTGTCTAGAGCATATAGACACCAAAGAGCACAGAATTACTAGTAGCTTTCTACTACACCCCCACCCTATAAACCACTTTAAAAGAGAAAATTTCATCTTAAGATTTCACTGCTTAAGGAGGCCTTACTACTGCAACAGGTTTTGGCAATGAAAGAATACTTTCCTAGATGTCATATTAAGTTAATGGAAAGCTTAGCCCCAAATCAATTATTCATGATATTCATTAGAAATTTTCAAAAAAAAAAAAGAAATTCTCACAAATGACATGCATTTAGGAACCAATTTTGCTTCTTTGAATAGCCAAAGGCTTTTAAATTGTTTTGCATTTCTTTTAGAATATTTATTCACTGACAATTTTTACCAGTATCATCTTCTTCTCCTCAGTCCTTAATAGACCCAACCCATTCCATCTGGGAAATACAGAAATCTAACCAGATTACTCAAATCTTTGAAGCCTTCTCATTTTTACCTTATAAGTTATGAGGTTACTTTTATACTCATATTCTTTTACAAATGCAATATCAATGGTATTGTTAGATATAAGGAAACATTGGCATATTAGTATTGAGTTGGCCAAAAAGTGAGTTCAGGTTTTCCCATCAATCTTATGGACAAGCCTGAATGAACTTTTTAGCCAACTTAATAATTAAGTAATTAATTAAAAGAAGTAAGTCTTACTTAACACTACAAAACATATATAAAAGATGAATATGAAACTATAACACCATTTAAG